ACAAATGTTTTCTGTTGTCTTAATTGAATATAGTTACTGTCAGCATTAGTAAATGAGGAACAGGGGTTAGTTTCCTAGGAGTATTCAGGAGTCAGGTTTTAATTAATTTAGGGAGGAATTATAGGACGGCATACATAAAGCACTTACTACCCTCTGGTGTCCTTAAGTCTATTAAATGCCATTTTTAGTTTTTGCATTATAACTTCAGTATTAGCTAAGGAAAGTTTATCCTAATAAACTGGTTCTTTTGCTTCTAGTATAGCCTTAAAAAAGATCTCTAACCAATATTTTGGGTTCCTGCAAGCTTCTTGAGCTTGTAAGATGTGTATTATTCATTTATGGAGTCTGATTTCAGGCATTATTTGAATCCAGGAAGTATCCGGTTCTTAATGTGCTAGAAATACCATATGCTAGCAATGTATCATGCACGCACTCTCTGTACGAGCATACACATACACGCATTTATACTTTGTTTTTCTAATGTTGTTTTTTGAACTGAGGTGCCCAGATACTTTATTTTATCTTACCACATTTTTGTATTCAATCAGTTTTGTTAATCTGTTGAATACTGTTCAGTCTGTATCATCTCATGCATTAGTGAGGTGGTGGTCCTAGACTTCATTCAAGCAACCTTGGTCCCTGAATGTGCTGTTCTGCTATATTCCTTCTGTATTCGTGGTCAGACAAGCTGTGCTAGAAACTGCTTTAGATGGAAGGGTTTGCCAGCTGCTTCAGTGAGCAACTGAAAGCCTGGAAATTACTTGAGGTCTCCTCTTTGTTGAGTGTCTCTTGAATTTTGAGCTGTGGTAATACAGAAGCCTAAAATACCAAATATGAGAACTGTATATGTAGGCCAAAGAGGATCGTTTATGCATCTCTTAACACTATAAAGTATTCAGCCCCTCATCTCTAAAACAGATGCAGGAATTTCCAATTATCAGTCCTATTGCATTGCTAATTCTTGCAGCTTTTGCTTAGCTTTTCAGAATCTCTCAAATTGACTTATTGTCTGATTACCCTGTTACTGATCATAAATGTTCATTAAACTGACACTGGCTACACAAAACAACTCAGAAAATCTCTTTGAGACTTTGTGTCTTATGTACACAAAGTTCTGCCTGTGTGCCGATTGTTAGATCTAGAGTTACTGATAACAAGCTGCAAATTAGTTTTCCAGATGGAGAGGGAGCCGTATTTATCTTTTAAGACTTTCTGGTTTGTTCTAGGGTACCTTGCTGTGATGAAACAAAGAAACTAAACTTGATCCTGCGTTGCATGGCACCAAAAATGACAAAATTACTGCTCAGTGAGCAAAAAGATGCAGAACATCTTTTATTTTAGGATGTTACTGATTAGGGATGGTGTTTTCAAATTTTGCAGATAAAGTCACCCTGAACTCTAGACCAAGTTCATTTTAGTGTAACTCAAAGCTGGAGAGACAAAATTGGCTTTGGTGCTGCTACACAACAACTGTGAAACCTCCTGACCGCTGGTTTCAGCTTTGCCAGTCAAGCCTCCGCGCTGTTGCCTGTTGCATGCTTGGCTCTGCTTCCTGACTTTTCGCTGGACTGTAGTGGATTGTGTATTATTAGTGGATTAGCTATGCAATATACTGTCAACTCTCTTAACATCCAAAATATGAAGAAGTCAAATGTGCTTTGGAAGGTTTAGCAGACTTTTTCTGCAGTGTATCGGTTTCTGAAGCTGCGTGCTCAAAATAGAAGGAATATTAGCTGGGTAGATCCTTTGGTCTCGTGTTATTTTTGTGATTCATGTATTCAGTGTAGGAATATTTTTATTAAACATGATTAGGCTTTATATATGCAGGGTGTCAACCTGTGATTTTTCTTCTGGTTTCCTGTCAGAGTTTAAACAAACTGCTCTTGTCTCCTGAGATCATTCTTTGACTGTTGGAGTCACATGGAAGTGTTGACTGCTGTTCCGTGTCTGGAACAGCTTGTGACTGTTTACTGGAAAAAAGCAGCAGCTACATTGTAAAAATGTGCAGTGTAATATCTCTGAATAGCTCAGTTGTTGACACTTGTACAGAAAAATCACCTACTGAATTACAAATACAATCAGATTTCATCATAAGCCTTTGTAAGGCCAACCACTACTACTTATGTTGTTTAGCTGCTTTCCTAAATTTGTCTTAAGTCTGGAAGGTTTGCTCCTTTTTATATTGCTTATTACAGACATCCAGAAGAGGGATAAAAGTTATGTCTCAATATAAAATTCCAAACCTGCTATTAAAAAAAAAAAAAAAAAGTCCAGTTTGGACAGAGTCTTTTGAAAACTGCATCTGTTAAATTTGCATTGCAAACTTTCTCATGCTTTGTTGTAAATATATTTAAACCCGTCAGTTGCAGTGGGCGCGCATACGCTCCCTGTCTGTTCATCTTGGAACCCTTGGGCAAGGCAGAAGATCCGAGCTAGGTCAAAAAATCCAGAATGCATTTGTGTTAGATGAAGAGAGATTAAAGGAGGTTGCACTGAAATAGGACTAGCGTTAACGTTGTAGTGCAGCTACGCAATTCTGAGGAGCGGAGAAAAGAAGTGAAAAGGACTGGCTTTGGTGAAGAGGGTGACCTAGCAGGCATGTTTTAATCCGTAGTTGATTCAAGTTAAAGAAGTTTGTATGGGAGCAGTAATGGATCTCTTATTTCCCTACTGTTTTATAACATCAAAGACTTGAAGTTCTGAAATATTTTGGTAATAATATTTTATACTCTTAGCAAGAGAGTCGCCTGTCTGATAATAATAATATTCCAGCAGATAAGAGAAGGTTACAGTGGGGAAAAAACCCTATATATGACAGAGGCGCACTTTGGTGCGTTTGGCTCTCCATACGTTTTGTTAGAAATGCAATGATAAGCCAGAGGTATGGAGAGAGGGAAGAATAAAAGCTAGTCAGGTTTGGAAGAACTGGCTCGCGGAGAGGGGAAGCTTGGCGGGCTGAATGCAGCTGAATTTGGTGTTGAATAGTGGAAGGTTAACGACAACTGTGAGAAGGAATTGTTTAAATGCCCAGTTTGTGCTTTTGAAGTTATTAAAGTAAATCGCTTGTTAGGAAAAAATGCTGGGCAATAGGACATTTCAGGCCAGACTCTGCTAAAAGTAGTGGAACATTTTAATTGTAATGTTTAACAGAAGTAGGCCTTGTCATTCCCGTATGCCCTGTTATAAGACACTGTTTTTGATTGCTGTTAACCTGGCTGAACTTTAACTATTTGTACTGAAGTTGTCGGAAATCTGATTTTTTTTTTTTCCCTTCAATTAAAAGGTTTATTTAACCACGGCTTAGAAGTACCTGAGAGAAGACTTGTAAGGTTCAGCAAGTCTCAGTCTGTTGCCACTAGAGCACGTTCACAACTCCTGTCCCTTCTGGCGTAGGCTGGGGGATGCAGGTATATGGTAACCACGACAGTCGACGCAGCCAGTTTTGTCCCCTTAGGTCCTCTAACTGCGCAGGGAGCTCGTGACCTGCACAAAGCACTCGGGTAGTCCTGCCAGCCTGCAGCCACGATTAGCTCAAGAAATTTTGGTGGTTTATCCCGACTGAACGAAGAGCAGGAACGCTGCTACTGCTCTCGGTGACTTCCAGGCTGGTGCATAGTTATGTTGGGGGCAAAAGAGCCAGCAGGGCCGCTTGGCGAAGCAGCTTAGGATGAGGAGCACGGGCAGAAACTGGGGCTCGCGCCTAGCAGAAGGGGCGTTTCCGAAGTCGGCTGCTGCGGCGTTGGGCACGCGAAGAGCTGTTCTGTGAACGTGCTGGTGACCTGGGCGCAGGGCCAGCTGCGCCTGGGAGGTGCCGGGGGCAAACCTCCTGCCGGCGGGGGGACGGCAGAGCCGGTCAGAGCCGAGTCGCCCGCCGCTCCTGGAGTTTGCGCCTGACTGGTCGCTGCCGTTAGTAAAGTTACCCGAAGGCCTGAGTGTTTTCTTGCAAAGCACTGGGGACAGGAAACTGGGAACTAAACATGTCAAAACTGTTATGAGCAAATTACTCTTTAGCAGTCTTTAGTCTTTTTAAAAAAAAAAAAAAAAAACCTAGTACAAAATTGTTTTTCTTGAACGCATGTCCACTATTTGGGGTACAGTAGCAGAATAGTAGCTGATCTGACAACAGAAGCAATAGCCTTATACAGGAATCAAGTAATGACCACGTTTGTTTGCTGAAGTAAGAATGAAGTTGCCATTCAGCTTCCAGAAACTTCTGTTGTGGAACTAAAAAGCAACATGATACACCGTAATTTATCATTTCTTTTAATGATCCTCATGCTCATTTACCTGTATACTTTTTTGCTTTATGGCTTGTCCCAAAATAATTATGATTTTTCTTTTTCATTTGGGTAAATTCGAAGTATATATTAAAGATCTTCTGTTTTGCCTGGTGAAGGGATTGATCTCCTTTGTTAGCTGGTCACGGCAAAAACTTTGAAATGTAGCGTGTTTATGGTGTTTGTGTTTCGCTGTTTTTCTCTTATGGAATCGCCTGAATATCTGGTGATAAGCAGAAAGCCAGATGTGGCCTGACCTTCCAAATCCATGAGCTTCCCAAGGTTCTGTAAAATAATTAAAAACTGGAAATAGCCACGTACCGTTAAGTTAAATCCTAGCTAAAGAGCATGAATATATGCCTTTGTGTAAAGGACAATGTTGTTCAAACCAATGAATTTTTAATAGTCGAAAATCACAGCCTTTGATTTTTGAGTGTAGAAAAGGGTTTGTTTTTTTTTCCCTTTCTAATGGCTAGGCAATATTGTCTATTTTGAAATTATTTTGTCTATTTTTTTAATTTCTTTTTTTTTTTTTTTTCCAAAATGGCATTCACTAAATTCCAGGCTGAGGCAGAAGCTGCATATAACTTGAAAAATGTAAAGAGTTTGGGGTTTTTACATATCATGGAGTTATGTAGGAATGGAATCCTTGTAGGTCATGGAATTCTTGTAGGTACAAGAATTCTATAGGTTGCTTTTTACATCTCCTTTTTTCTATTTTAGGTGAAATTGTGGTAAATGAAGTCAATTTTGTGAGAAAATGCATTGCAACAGATACTAGTCAATATGACCTGTGGGGCAAATTGGTTTGCACTAACTTCAAGATTTCCTTTATTACGGATGACCCTATGCCATTACAGGTTTGTTATTTCTCATTTTGGTACATCATGACAACAAATGTGATGGGTAAAATGGATTTAAGTAGAATATAGTAAATCTCTCACATAACTGATATAAACATGATGCCTTATAAAACAAAGAAAGCTCAGTGATGAGCTTAAACTGCCCTGTTCTGAACGTGTTGATATTCCCATCCCTTAATTTAGACTATCAGAATAGAGCAAGTTTGTGATGGAAGTACAGCCAGCTCTGTATACTATGGAGGCGGCTTTGGGAAGAGATTTAATAGAAGGCTAAGCAGAAATTGTATGAAAACACGTTCCTCTTTGAAGAGGAGAATTGCAAATGTTCCTTTGACTAGACAAGCATCAGATCAGTAAAGCCTTTAATGCATCCAAGTTTTACTGGCCTCAGTGAGGGAGGACAAAGTAACCATGAAATGAGCTTTCATTGTAGATAAGGCAAGAACAAAAGGGGAAAAAGAGACCAAGCCTTTGTCAAAGCAAAACATGCAAAATTCATCACCTTGATCAGTTTTTTTGAACAGCACAGCATGCAGCACTAAGTTTGGAAAGCAACTTGTCAGCTGTATGCTATTCTCGAAGTTGTTTAAAATTCACTTTGAGCTTTGTTTAAAAATACTCCATTAATTAGGCATGTAGAAACCTCTGAAAGTAGAGATGCTTATTCAGTAATGGTTAGCAAGTTTGACAAAAGCTACTTCAAAAAATTAATTCTTTAGGGGAGTTTGTCAAAACTTACACGGTTTATCAAATTTGCTGATAGTGACTTCGTTTTAATAAGCAAAAATAAAACATTTTGAGAGCTTGTTACTTTAAAAGCAATGTGTGAATTTAATGGCTATTGCCTTAAAGCACGTGTTTGCTGTGGTCTTCTACTTTTTGAGCTTATTATTTTTCAGTAGTATTTTTCTGCAGTTTTCGTTGCCTGGAGTTGAGATTGTTAGCTCTTCGTTCTATAGGAAAGCAGTAAGTGACCACCTGCAGCATGTTATGAATAAGATGGATTCAGAACGCTCTGAGCCATCTGGACTGGGGGTCTATAGTAGCATTGAGGAGCAGGCTTTCATGTTTAATCTGTTCAGTTCTGTCTGACAATATGAAAACAAAGCTTTAGATTTTTCCTTGTGAAAGCTAAGCTCACACTTTTCTTTCTATAGTTACATTAATGGTTGGAGGCATATTTTATACTTGAGATTGTATTGAATTTCTGACAGGAATTTAAAGGCTAGCAAATTCAATGTAAATAGTGATTTTTCTCCATGCTCCACTGGGATTTCCAAACTGTTTGGCATGCATTCCCCAGCACAAGGGAGCTGTTGCTGCTACCTCTAACTAGCTGTGAAAAGGCAAGGATCGTACGTAAGTCAGAAAAGTCTAGGCATGTCTGATTTTTATCATCGTTTCTTCAAAGTTGTGCTGTATATTTCTGGCTGAGAACTGCAGAACTGCAATTACTGGCTATGAATTCATGTGTTTCAGAAATTCCATTATAAAAACCTTCTTCTTGGTGAACATGATGTCCCGCTAACGTGCATTGAGCAGATTGTCACAGGTAAGTCAAAAAAAGAGTTAAATATGATGACAGACTTTTAAATTATTCAATTCAAAGCTGTTAACTGCTTGTTAGGTTGTGCAGAGTTGTACACACTTAAGGTTTAACGTCATTAATCTTTTTTTCACCTCTACATTGAAGAATTTAATGAAATTAGGTTAAAAGTGTTAAGAGCTCAATGAAGCTTGAGATGCTGTGCCGTAGATGTATATTTAGTTGGTCTTTGTGGGTTTTAAATCTTTAACAGCACTGAATCAACAGGTATTCTAGAAAAATCTTTTAGCAGCACATAATTTTATTAGCAAGTGCTTTACATTTGAGCATCTGAATCTCTTCCATTTAATTAGGCTGGATCGCAAAAAGCGCATCACTTGCACATTTTACACATAGCTGGGATATCCCACAGCATAAGTGCTTGAGTTCTCAAACAGTGTCTCTAGCTCAACGGCTGTTTAGTACACAGCGGTCCTCAGAATCTGCAAGTGTCAAGACGCTTCTTAATCTGAAAAAAAAAAACTTACAAAATACTTGTTTTGAAGAACCAATTTTTGATTTGGTGGCTCAACAGAAGACTGCATATAGACACTATATTGCTATCAAGATACCGTAGGATACCCTGTTTGCTGAAAAGAATGTATTTCATCTTGTAACTTAATTTTTTATAACTGATAAATTTTCAATCTTGATTACACCAAAGGCTGTTAAATACTTGTTCTTCTGACTCTAAATAATTTAAATCATTCTGTATAGATAAGCTTTCAGTGCCCCGAGTCTTCTGATAATCCATCTCCGCTCTGGAAGCTCGTTGTAATGACTGTGCAAAGATGAATGTGTGTCTGAGGAAGAACACTATGTAGAGACACTTTTTCTTAAAATAAGAGGCGCTACCTAGCGACTCTGTGATATGGTCCTGCCATTGGTCCACACTTGTTGCCCCTTTTCAAAATTACCAGGTGACAGGAGTAATGCTGTCGTAAATCTGTTAACAACAGTTTTGTGCAGAGAGAAACGTTTATAAGAGTGATGTTGCAAACTTCACATTTAACTTCCTGTGCAAACTCTCATGTAATACACTGAAAACTGCTGATAGCTTTTATTTTGAAGCTCGGTGGCTGACAGATTCTAGGTTATTCTTTTGTGCAAGTTTCCCCAGCGTAAACTGTCAAATAGCATGAATGTTGGCAGTTTCATTAGAAGAATGGTAAAAATTGTCTAGGACCCCTTTCTGTTTAGCTTTTTTGTTAAAACTTGGAAACTCTTTAGAGGGAGAGGGCAGTATTTTCTGCCCACATGCTTAGGCAGATTAGTTTTTGTTCCTCTATATGTAGACTTACTCTAAATTTATTGAAGCCTAAGTTTTTACTAACAGGAAATAGGAGAAAATTTTGACAAAGCTGCAGAAGAGGTTGCTCAGTGGCGGTTAATTGAAGGTGAATAGCTGAAGGTATATTGATTTTATGTACAATGGCCAGGTAGGAGCTGTTCCTTTTAGTTGTGTCCATTGGTCTTTGAGTTCATGGTTAAGGTTAGGAAAGGTTCCAAGGGTTAGGAAGTGCAGGATCTAGCTGGAAGCATAGGAGTTTGAGAGGTAGTAGAGACAGTACAGAAGATTTTTAACATGTGTTGCTAGTCTGATATACCTTAAGAAAAGTAATTGCAGTATAGGAAGAGAAACTATTGAAACTACTAATTAGCATTTATAGTAGTTATTGTCTCCTTATCTAGCCATTAGCTCTCCATCCTTTTCCAGGGAGAAGGAGGAGCTTAATGCACAAATCTTTAAGTCCCATCTTGTCCCAGAACATGTCTTGAGTTCCCTGGAAGTGCTTAAGCTTAACCCAGAAGGTACCCGCAGCCAGCCAGCTGCGGCAATTAATCATTCAATCAATCATGTGCTCCCTTTTACCACAAATAAAATCTTTGAGGTTTCTGTGATGCTTATTCTTTTTCCATTTGAAAAGAAGATGCATAGGCCTGGAGACACAGCCTGTCTATGTAGGTCTGGACAACCTGGCAATTTACTACACTTTTTCTGCTTGTGAAGTTGTTGATGGGTAAAAATAATCTGGGCATACAGGAATCAGTAATTCAGCCACTTGTTTGAAGGAAGACTGATCGGTGTTCTACCTAATTTGAATAGTTGAAATATACTAATAAATGAAAACATGCAGGTAGTAGCATTTCTCTATCTGTTTGAGCTAGTTGTGCGTTGTATACTTACGGCACGGTCCAATAATTCTGTCTTTTCTTTACAGTGAATGACACCAAGAGGAAGCAGAAGGTTCTTGGTCCCAATCAAAAACTTAAATTTAATCCAACAGAATTAATCATTTATTGCAAAGACTTCCGTATTGTCAGATTTCGCTTTGATGAAGCGGGTCCTGAAAGTGCAAAAAAGGTATCATATCTTTTTATGAGGTGTGGCATTGTAGTAATTACTACATAATGTAGCAAGAGCGGTGCTAATAAGGAACTTTTGCTTTATGTTTTGATAGAGATGTAGGGGCAAAAAATTCAAATTGAATCCTATATATCCTGTTATAGGAGACTACCTAGATTTTAGAGTTAAAATGACTAGATAAAAACATTTTATGTGTTATATTAACCATTTCCTTGTGGATTAGATAAACGTGTGTTTCTTGTATCAGATCTCTCGTACCTAAAAAAGAAAAAATAGAAAAAACTAATGAAACAAGTCTTCTAAAAGACCGGAATCAAAATGCTGTATTACAGCTGTGCAACAGATTGCACAGATGCTTTATATACGAACAGATACATATACACAGATATGTATACCTGACAGATATGTTTCAGTGTGAAATATGTTTGGTATTTGCATTTTTCTGAAAGTCATAGCCTTAATTTACCTTTAGGTGAAGTGTGATATCTTGTATATACTGCTTACAAGTATTGCATAGCAAGTTGTCTGACTAGCTTTTAGTTACCAATTTGTTTTAAGACTGAGACAAAGGAGAGTTCAGTAAAGGCAACCATAGCTATTCATATGAACTTTCTGTTAGCATTTTACTTTTTTTTTCTTTAAATATTTGCGTAGAAAGGTGCTGTTTCTTCAGGCGGATGTTAAGGAGTCCAGGATCATAGACCCAATACCATAACCTATAAAAATCACACTCCTCTTTTCATTGCTTAAAGAAAGGGAGCTTCGTGGCCAGAAACGTACTGTCTGTTTGTCTAATAAACAGTATAAAATCATGCCCTCTTTTTTTTTTTCCCCTATGTTATCCTGGAATAGGCTAGCATGCCTTTTGACAAGAAGAGTTTTCTCTGTCTGTATACTCCTAGAAATGTCATTCCTTTTCTAGTTCTGTCTTTTAACAGTTCTTATAGGGCTCAATAAAAGCATACAATGTTGCTTAACCTAGCGAGGTCCAGGTAAGTTTCTACGAATCAGATATGGCTAATCTACGTAACTAGACTTGTTCGCTAGCCTCCTTGCTCTGAGATGGTGGGGTAAGGTAAGATGAAGATGCACTATTTGGGCATACTGCTCGGCTGACCTCTGTGGCACCCCTTCGTGGTCAGGCATGGCATAGCCATGTTTTCATAACAGGTGACCTGGTTTGCTCAGAGAGCTCACATCCCTTTTGTACATACAATAAAATGTTTTGAGCTGAACCCCATAAGACCAAAGCACCTCAGACCGAAGTCATCTTGCGGTCATTTTTCACCTTCTGGAGACTACCTTCTCCCTAAGATTCACGGGTAGAAACCTGGAGTTACAAAGCTGACTGTTCTTTCCTGCTTACTTTTCTAGATTCCTCCGTGCCTGCTGCCTTCACTGTTTGTAACCTTTCGTGTTTGGCAGTCTTTCAGCAATCAATTCCCCTTTCACAGCTTCTCTGAAATCTCCCTGGAGCAACCTTCAGTCTGTCTATCTGCAATAACTTTATAACAACTGTTTCTAATTGGCTAAGAAGAGTAATTAGCCTGGGGGAGGGAGGAAGAGAGCACAAACCCAGCATCTCATTAACCCTTCCTATGCTGCATTCCCTAGTGCAAGAGCAAAAGGTGAAACTTTGTAAGAAGGCACTTTCTTCATGCGTTTATAATTAGATGATGTGATGTGATTTTTCTCTAGTTCTAGAGAACTAGCTAGTTGTCTAGCTAGTTCTAGGGGTCCAAAAGGATCTGAACCCATATAGTTATAAAGATACTACTGGTGCTGACAAACAGCATAAGAGTCCCCATTTTCAAATGTGAGAATGTTTTCACCAGAAAGGAGTAGAAGAAAACTTGTACACCTCTTACTTTTAACTATATGGATATTTATGGCTGCTATCATGGTTTTGATGCATCAAGTAGGGTACTGCAGCTATGTGTGGGTGTATTACAGAAGCACACTTTTACTGAAGGGAGATAACAGCTTCTGTTAACATAATCTAATATTTCCTTAATACCCTTATTCTTCTAGCGTTAGAATACAAATGTATAAGAATGAGGTGGTTAGATTTCTGTTCTGCTTAAATTATTTTGGGATGTTGGTCAACACAAGTAGAATAGTCTTACACGGGATATGAAGCGGAATTGTTCTTTCTTGCATTTCACTGGCATGGTAGCACCTCACTCCTGAAAGATTTTTATGTCCGATTTCTGTGCCTGCCCCTCAAAAAGTACCTGTTAGCAGGGCTATCTATATGTTTAAAAACAAAAAAGGTGGTCAGGTTGTTTGTTTGTTTGTTTACATCCCACTATTTGTGCATGAAAATATTAGTACTTGTCTACAATGGCAATAATTGTGTGCCTAACTTTTTTTAGGGAGGACTAAGACTTAAACTAAAGTATAACTGAGTTTTGATGGGAGGAATGTATCCAGTGCTCTTGGCTGGGTATTCCAGAGGTGCCTTCAGACCTGTCGAATGCTGGACCAGAGATCTGATCATGGAGGCATAGAAATCCTGGAGGGACCTCTGGAGGTCACCCGCCTGGTCCAGCTTCCTCTCTGGAGTGGGCCTGTAGCCAATGCTAGATCAGGTCAGCTGTGGGTTTGTCCAGCTGAGTCTTGAAAGCCACCGAGGATGGAGGAGTTGAAAGCTGCCCCGGGGTGACTTGTTCCAGCGCTGACCTCTCCTCCCCTTCATGAAATTTTTTTCCTAATGTTCAGCGTGACCCTCCCAAAATGCAGTTTTTGGCTGCTGCCTATTATGTCATCTGGCAAGACTGACAAGTTTGTAACTGCTTTCCAGGTAGCTGTAGGCAGCTATGAGATCAGTCTTCAGTCTCATCGTTGCACAACTGAACAAGCCCAGCTCTTCAGCCTCTCTTCAGAAGATGTGGTTTAGTACTCTGATTATCCTCATATCCCTCTACTGGACCCTCTGCAGCTTCTTTTCTTTCCTCTTTAATTGGGGGCCTAACCTCCTGTCCCTTCTTGGAGAAAAATCGAAACAACTGTCAACTATTTTCTTTTCCCTGCACAAATTTGCATGCCCATTTTTTGGCTAAATATGAAGACCTCCTGAGTAAAAAAAAACAAAAAAAAAACCAAAAAAACCAAAAAAGACTGGGTAGAATTGTGCATGTGTGTTGTTTGAAGGTGTTTCAGGGTGCGTGCTGCTTATAGGGTTGAGAAATTGCAGAACTCAGCATTTCTGCTGTAATCAGAGAATTGGGCAGGCTTCCATTCAATTAAAATCAAATCTGAAGCATTTAGACTCAAAACATGCTTTTCAAATAGTTTTTTTTTTTCACTTGTTAGTTTTAAAATAAGTGGAGAGGAAATGATGTTTTGGATAGCATTGCAATTCCTGCTCTGTGAAGCAAGAAACCTGCATGTTAATTCTTTATAAATCGTAACTTCCTTGGGCAAACTGTACCCTCAGCGGTACAAACCAGAACAGGGAGATTTCTCTCTAACTGAATAGTTTATCCTGTTACTTCAGGGAGCATCATCCCGTGAATAAAGCACAGTTGGCTCAGAACTAAGTATCTGTCTTCTATAACATATATTTCAAACTATGTGAGTATAACTGTTTAAAACTTGCTTGCTGCCAGAGGCTAACTACTGTTCTCTTTAGAGCAATAGTTAACCTTGAGAATGATTATTTTAAAAGTGAGCTTTAAGCATGTGGAATAGTTACGAGGAGGACAGATACTAAAGATCTTTATACAATTAAGGAATTTGTTTCATGCGTAATCCCTTGAAGCTTACGAAAATACTCATCAGCACTCTGATACGTATGTTGCAGTTGACAAAGGATGTAATTGCTCCTAAGGAGGTATCTGTATTTGCAGAACAGGGACATATTGGAGAATAGCTCTTACTAATTTAGCTGCTTTACTAGAAGAGAGAGTATTCTGTGTCTGTCTTCGGTAGTAAGTGCAAGGAAGGATCCAAATCTGAAAGCAGTTATAACTCAGATGTGGACAATCTGATTTGTTTACTTGAATATAGACATAATAATGTGGGTGATAACTTTTAGAGCTGCTTCTCCATCTTAAAGCAGAAATAATGTGAAAGAGCTCATCAAATTGAGGTGAATGAATTTGGTTTGGGATAAATTATCATGAAGAAGTTTAAAAAAAAAAAGAAAAAAAAAGAAAAATTGGAGTTCTATTAAAAAAAACTGCTTTCAATATTGCATGCAGCCAGTACACGCTAATAAAATACTCTCCCAACATTAATCGGTCTAGTAAATATTTCCTTGCACACTTTTGCTTAGGGGTATTTGGCAAGCAAGAGTTAATAAATAGAGCAGGTGGAAACTTCATGCTTGCAATGATTTAACAGTTTGATTCCATTTTGTCTCTAAAATAAAACTATAGAGCCTCAATAGAAAGGAAAACCAGATGGGTGTGGGAGGAAGTGGAGGATGGGGAAGCAAGAGTAAGCAAGTTGGGGAAGCCTTATTTAAGCAACCTGAAAGAAGCATTTCACATTCCTTAAAGGAAAAAAAGAAGAATTTTGTTCTGTAAATCAAAAAATGGGTCAAACTGAAAACTGCTAATTTCTAGCCATTACCTAAAACTAACTTAGCATTACGTAAAGCTTGACATCAAACTAACAAATTAAAACATATGAAATGTTGAGGCTTTAGGTCTTCTGGACTATTAAATAGATGACTGTTAGCATGTTGCCTTGCCATGCACATGAATCTTGGCAGAGCACCAGCATGGCACACGCCCTATAATCTCCTATTTCCTAAATATATCTCTGTTTTGTCAGATCCTTTACTTCTTGCACTTCCTCAGCGCTTTTTCTTTTTTTCAAGTATGTGCTCCATTTCAGAGACACGTGCATAATCAAAACAGGAGGAAAAAATACTTTTCTCAGATCTTGTTTCCTGCCCAATCAAAGCTAGTCTTCGCACATGGCCTAACACTTAGGAGGGAGTGGAGCAATTTTTTGCCAACTTTTATGCGGAATAAATATGAAACTCGGTTTTGGACAAATGACCCTGACCTTTTTGATTTCCCCTCCACACCCCTTCCTAAACTCCTGTATTACCTTATTGTAAGTGTTTGTACAGATCAAAATTGATAATCTGATAATCTCTCAAGACACTGGGAATGCAGGAGAAGGCATTTTATATTTAGAGTCTTTGGGAGTAGAGGGAGTGCAAAAAGCTTAAACTCACCCGAAGGTATTTTAAAAAGAAAAAAGGTATATTAATAATTTTCTTAAGTCTTAGGAAAAAACCACTATGCTTACAATTCAAGCACATGCTTATGCAAACAAGAATTCTGATACAGAAAATTATTTTCTCAAATCCTTGTACAGTTTCCTCTCATCCAGTTTATTTGTACTGAAACCAAATTAAGTACTACCTATAGCTGGCATTACAGTTTTTATGGAAGAAAAAAAAACCCGCTCTCAATGCTTGGAACTGGACCATTTACGGCTTAACATTCATACAAGTTCTCCTAGATGCTAGGGCTGGAAGTCCTGTTAGTTGAAAGCTTGTTGTTCCAAAAAGACTGGCTACCCTGCAAAGATTTTAAAAATTCTGTCTCTAGGACTTGTTTGATCATCGTTTCATGTCTTTCCGTTGCAAAGTGTCTTCTCAGAACAGGAATTGCAGTAACAAGGGAAGAAAGTATCCCTCCAGTGAATTTTTAAGATAAGTGGCCCAGCCGAGGGAGGGAGGTGAAATGCATGACTTTAGGGTTATGCTAACTTGGCACATCTTAAATGCAACCTGATCAAAAAGATCTTCCAAAAAAGCCGTAGCTGTACTTTGAAGCCCTTGTCCGTGGTAAAAATCCTGTTGATGAAGGAGAAGAGGAGAGCTTGCCCAGTATCATTTATCTTTCCCAGCTGGGGCTCGCACTGGGGATGCTGACAAGGATATAGCCTTTGTATGTATGAAATAGTTGAATCCATTCTGTTAACTTATTAAAATGAATTAACTTTCCAACGAGCAGCCTATTCTCTTGTTATTGGACTGAAACTAAGTATCTTCAGGTTTAGACAGTTGTAAATTGGCAAAAATACTAAACATTTTCAGTCTGATAGGAGAACATTTCGTATAAAACAAGTTTGCCTTCCAGTTGAAGAGCTTTCTGCTTACAGAGATAATCTGCTGAGAGCTGTGGCATCTGCTTCTTCTTTGAAACTTGCAGACAATAAAATCATTATATAGATTTAATGAGGAATAAACTGAAACATGTATGTCTTTAACACTTACTAGTGTATATCAGTAGAATTTGTCTAAACTGTAAAATGAAGACAGTGGCAGGATAAATATGAATATTTTTTTTTTAGTAGCAGAAACAGAGGTCCTGAGCCTGTGTTTTTGTCTATGGCTGGACTGTTTCTCCCGTGCGGTGGCTGGTGCTGAGTTATGTCTGTTTTGTGGAAAAGCTGGGAGCACTTCCCAGCAGCTGGCTTGAGGAGCGCCCGTCTGGCCCTCTGTTTGTGGGACCTGACCTGAAGGCATGCCAGCCCCCCACGCTTTACCCTTCCTAACCCAGCACGCTCCCCTCCTCCCTGTTTCAAAGGTGGCAAGTAAGCAAAAGAGATTTCAATTGCTCCTTTTAAAAAGAGTTTTTTATGTTTTTCTGTTTTATTATTTGGTGGCCCAGTGGCATTTTCTTGATGTCTTGCAGTTCACCCTTGAGCCTTGAAAGTTGATGAGTGTAGTAAAAGGCTGTCGTCCTTGACATCCATAAACGAAGATTAGGAGTAGCTCCGTTAACATTGGTTACTCCCATGAAAAGTTAATTAGAAAAATGAAGGTCAAAATGCATATGTAAATAAATTTGCATTTTATTCCGTTGTGATTGATAGATCAAATTAGTCTGTTAGAAGATGCTAGGTATTATGAACTAGCTGTTTCCTTGTTACGGTTCTTCAGCTTTGATTTGTACAATCACAAGGTGTAATAAAATTTTTATGGCTTCTGGTTACTTCATGGTAGTTACCAGTCTTTCTAAATCCTGAAAATGAGCTTATAAATACTCATTTAGAATTCCATACTAGATCATTTTCCCATGACGTTTTTACCAGTTTTTCTCAGAAATGTCCTGTCCTCTATTTTGCATTGTAGTTTCCTTGTTAGCTCCGAGTGTGGGAGAGAAAAGTCAAAGGAAGCGCTCCTAAGACTTACAGGAACGTTTTGTTGGGGACTGTGTGTGAAAAAACATTTTCAACTCTTGTAAGTTAATCTACAACCATTAACTGGTTTTATAAATAGTGAAGAACGTCCCTACCGAAAGCCAACCTAAATAAAAACGTGGCGAAGGTTCCGTTATGTCCCGTGTATGTTGCATACAAGCTAGTAAAAATGCAAAATTTTCTCTATGCAGAGATTAGCAAAAGTGAGGTCTCAGATTATTATTTCCTGTGGCACAATGTTGCCAGTAGTATTAGTCCTTCTTTTGCATATCATGGAAATCTTTCTTTTGCTAACAGAAAGCAATTTCTTGGAAGCACGGAATGTTTTTTAAAAATCATGTCCAAGACTTAGAACAAAGAATAAATTTTTTTCCTTGTGTTGCCAAAAAATCATGGAGGGTTGAAGGGAAGGGAGAGGAAGGGAAGGCAACCTTTTTAGGGGGTAGTAATGAACTTATGCGATGCCTTAGTCCCTAATGAGCCATAAAAATTTTGCATGGGGAATTTCTGGATCTGAACATGTAGAATAGAGTTTTGTGTGGTATAACCTCCTTTTTGTTAAGTATATCCTTTAGAAATAAGCAGGTACGTTTTAGTAAAATGGAGAAGCTAATGCTAAGGGAAGAAGGCAAAGCTAAGCCTCTACATTCAGTCCTGAGAATAGCAGTGGAGAGTAACAGTGCAAATCCTGCCTTGAAAGTTGTCTGTTTTTTCCTTGAATTTGATTTTTCTAGTATTAGCTTTTTTTGTCAAATTTTTTACATTTATTAGTGAATATCCATATTTAAAGAGACCAACGATAGCAAAGCAAGACCGTATATGAAGCCGAGTATCCAGTTCTAGACCATATTTTACGCTCTTAATTTTAATGGTGTGAGTAGTGCTACTAAAATTAAAACAATTCCCCTTGGTAGGAAAACCAGCTGCTTATTTGACGCCAGTCCTGAGACTGTTGCAAACAATGCGAAGGCTCTTTCTGGTGCCCCGGGTTAATCCCCGCTGTTCTGAGGGTGTCTCCTTTTTTCTGTGGGATCTTTGCCGAATTGCCCTTCCCAGGGCAGGGCTCGTGACTCAGCCTGGTCAAACCCGATTGCTGCGTCAGGCCGTCGGAGGCTCTGCTGGAGCTTGCTAAGCCCACGGGCATCTGGCAGCGAGGGACGGGTTTCTGTGGCGAATGAACACTAGTCCTCTGAGACAGGACCTGTAAGGGCCAGGCTAAAATGTAGCGGAGCCGACGTTTAGCTGCCCTCAGAAAGCCTGACTGATAGTTCAGTTCTCAAGATCATCTGGGAGTGGGAAAGGGGTGCTTACTGGCATGTTTAATTAATGGTAGATTCTCACACTTGACTGAAGGCCTAAGCTAAAAACTCAGTTGTTACTGAAAGCAGAGACTGACGGAGAATATGTGGCATGCCATCTAGCTGACAAGCTAGAAGTGACTAGTGGGAAGAAAGCATTTCCCACCATGATTTACTTCTTATTTTCAGGTAGCTTGGGGAAAAAGCAATTTCTTATTGCCAAGCAATTTGCTTTTTACTTACATTCATTGATGCCTTTCATATTTTTGGAATGCAACCTAGTGAGATGCAGGATGGACAGAGGTCCTGGAAGTCTGCAGAGAACACCCTCTTATTTTCCTTTCCAAGAACAGAAATTTCTGAGGATTGAGTTTTGGGTACTACAGACTGCTGAGTTTATGTGGGGTGAATTAGTGGAAACTATAATAAAAATACAGTTAGATATAATACTTTGGTTAAATATGATATTTTGCAGGAGAGCCAATAGGGCTTCTGCAGAGGGAAGCCACACTCCACAAACCTCTTGGACCAACTGACAGCTTTGTAGGAGAAATATCCATCAAAAGCTCTTGAATACAGAGGCGTGATCTCAGTGCAAAAGGTCCCTGTGCAGCAGATTGCTGAAACGTATCCTGGTAAAATTTCACAACAGGCCTGCTCTGTTTTCACCCTCTTTCCTAGGTGTCTGTTGTTGGCTGCTGTCAGGGATGGAGTGCTGGACTGGACTTTTTGAGCCTACTCAGAATAGCTTTTCTTATGTTTTTCTGCTACATTAATAAGTATTCTTTATTCTTCCTCTGGTATCAAAAGACCAATCGCAAATGAGATTTTGCTGTGCTTGGTCACAGTCTGTGTGTCAGCTCTTTTCTTTGCCTGTTCTCCTCCCTACGTCTGTATGTGGGTGAGCAGGCACAGCTCAGCAGCTCTCAGGCCTTGCGAGTAGCTGTTTATGCAGAGAATCGTGCTTAGGGATGCCTGTTGCACTCTGACCTTTCTTTCAAAAACTTAGTTCACCCTTATGCTAGGTAATCATTGTTGATAGACGATCAAGAACTCACCTACTATGGCTCCACTAATGTCCTCGCATCAAATATTAGTATGTTTGACTAAATATAATTCCCTCCTCTCAAATCAAATATGGAAATAAACCATCAAAAGTGTGTTTTAACTTTGCGTATTTCATGCTGTCATAACCAATAGCAATGATTTTTACATATATAAATAATAATAAATGTTTCTTTCCTAGGTATGCCTTGCAATAGCTCATTATTCTCAGCCAACAGATCTCCAGCTCCTCTTCGCATTCGAATATGTTGGGGAAATATATCATAATCCAGGTAAGTATGAAAATACTAATTTTTTTTCTATTTTGTAATATGTAATTTTAGTAGGACTTTGAACCAGAAACAATGGCAAAAAGTATTTGAGGCTTTCTCCAGGGATATTTAAACTGGCTTGTCCTGCACCCAGCTTCTTATTTTTGGATGTAAGCCAATCATTGTGATAGACGTTAACTATCAAAATCGAAATAAATGTCTTTTGTTTCTGAAACAAAACAAAACTGCCAGTGTCAGCATGAATACTCTTTATTTCTCAATTCACGCCTCAGTCCTCCTATTGTGTGCTTTTGATTGGTACTCTAGGTACCTAGCTGATCTCCCATCAGGCAGGTTTGCTCACCTGCCCTTCTATTGGGAATAAGTTTCTCTTCTGGTGGTATTGCAGGAGGATTTGTGCAACTTGGGACTCCAAACCTTCTTTCCTAGAGGCTTACTAGGCAGTTCTTCCCACTCAAAACCTCCACCACCCCCGCTGAGTTGGAGCTCACCCTCTCTGCTCAAGGCCAATCTCCAACTGAACCCTGTCAGTTAGGTAAGCCTGAAAAAGATGCCTTTGGAACTTCATTTCTAGTGTAACGCTGTGAGGTCACTGCTTAGTGTTCCCCAGCCAGTACACAGCTCAAAACCAGCAGCTCTCGCGTAACAAGCCTCCCAGGGCAGAAAGTGCCACGGAGGTGCGCAAGTACTGACTCAGCAGCTGGCATTAGAAACTATTGATCTTCCTGTTACAAAACTTAAATGTTGTGGAATTTGAGCTCAGGGCCTCAAATTGGCACAAAAACGGATGCTTTCGTGCAGGTGCCTGCATGACTGCTCTGTATATGCAGATGAAATGTGTGCATGGTTATGCTGTGCACGTAGGAAGGCATATAGTTTCTCACCTGATAAAACTTGGGCAGTTATTAAGGTCCATGTATTTTTTCTTTAGCTTTTAAAGTACTGAGGAGGAAGCCAATTTGCAGACAATTCAGTGTTGAAGTGGGTAGTAAGCAAAATGTTGGTCTGTCACAAAGTTGCCCTTACTCTGTGCTTAAAATACCATTTACTATATAGAAGAAAATTTAGTAGAGAAGTTATATAAGGTGGGTAAAAAATGTTCCTTTGCGGCAGCAGACCAGGAATGGCAAAAGCTAGTTGTACTGCTGTGCTGCAGTTGTTGGAGGAAGGAGCTTGAACTACTGTTGTTTTTTTGTTTTTTGTTTTTAAGTGAAAAGTTTCCACACAGTAAAGTGAACTGTGATGTTTGCAGCATAGAT